AAGGTCTAAATTATGGCGAAGATCCTTTTGCTGTTCTAAATAGGAATCTGGAACCTTGAAATTTTTATATTGTTCTTTCATATGCTGAACTTTTGATTTTGAAGTAACGGTCAATTTGCTAGTGGTAGCAGGCGCAGGAGTAGTTTCGTTGCTAGTGGTGGCAGCAGGAGTAATTTCAGAAATTTCAGAAGCGCTTTTCACAAGTCAAAATATGAAAAATCGGTCACCAATCGGTCATATGACCGATTGGTGACTGATTTGTGACTGATTGGTTACCTATTGGTGACCGATTCTTTCAATCTGTTACCTATCGGTCACCAATCGGTTATAGATTGCCAATCAGTCACCAATCAGTCATATGACCAATTGGTGACGGATTGGTTGCCAATTTGTTTACAATATTTGATTTACGTTATTAAAGTTAAAAAATTAGCATTATAGTCTTATAAAGAAAGTCAAATTATACTTAATCTGAGCTTTTGAGTTTGTTCTGATAAATATTTTAAGTTTATTATTGACAATCGGTCACCAATCAATCACCAATCAGTCACCAATCGGCTATGTCAGATTGGTGACCGATTGGTTGCCGATTTGTTTACAATATTTGATTTACGTTATTAAAGTTAAAAAATTAGCATTATAGTCTTATAAAGAAAGTCAAATTATACTTAATCTGAGCTTTTGAGTTTGTTCTGATAAATATTTTAAGTTTATTATTGACAATCGGTCGCCAATCAATCACCAATCAGTCACCAATCGGCTATGTCAGATTGGTGACCGATTGGTTGCCGATTTGTTTACAATATTTGATTTACGTTATTAAAGTTAAAAAATTAGCATTATAGTCTTATAAAGAAAGTCAAATTATACTTAATCTGAGCTTTTGAGTTTGTTCTGATAAATATTTTAAGTTTATTATTGACAATCGGTCGCCAATCAATCACCAATCAGTCACCAATCGGCTATGTCAGATTGGTGACCGATTGGTTGCCGATTTGTTTACAATATTTGATTTACGTTATTAAAGTTAAAAAATTAGCATTATAGTCTTATAAAGAAAGTCAAATTATACTTAATCTGAGCTTTTGAGTTTGTTCTGATAAATATTTTAAGTTTATTATTGACAATCGGTCGCCAATCGGTCATCGTTTACTTTCTACGCTCATATATATGGTGTCACGCATTTGACTTTTTCAGAAATCTTCCGATCTATATAATTTCGTAAAAATTTACGGAAAAAATGGTTAGTATTTATGCTAATTGTTATTAATTTCAAGACATTACTTACTTTTGATGACCGCTATTTTAAATCTTTTATCACTATTTTCCTTTTTCCGGATGGATTCTCTTCATCCGTTTCAGAAATTCAGGGGTGATATGCACTATTATTAATGACTGGATGCAGGTATTCGTCATTAAATTTCTGAACTAGCGGATCGCCTACCCTCGTAAGTGATTAATCATTTTTGCTCTAATTTTTTGTTTCTCAACGATTACCCAATAATGGTTTCCATCACCCGCTTCACATTTTTACCAATACTTTTTTTCCCCGAATCCTTTTTCAAGGCAAACTCGCCAAGCGGTATGTCTTCCATAAATATAGTCGAATTCGTCCTTGAAGTCATTATCTGTCTTGTTAATTTGCAACGCACTCTCGCATTGGATCAGATTCAAATCCCACCTCATGTGATTTCCCTTCCATGATAAGATAAACCTCTCGAAAGCCTTGATCTCATAATCAACATGGCCGGTATTTTCTTCACCAACGACTTCAAAGTGGGTTCTAAGGTAAGGTCCATTTCGATTACTCTCTTAACAATATTCAGCGAAGTGTGAAGGATTGCTGAAATATATCACATCACAAATGCTCCCATATTACCCAACTTCTGCTTTAATCCCTTATGCATTGTTTCAATTCCTCGTCGTCACCTTTGAGTGAATATGTTTTGTCATAAACGGAACGAAATGATTAGTATGCATATAATATCGCAAATAATATCGCAAATAAATGTAAATGCTCAATTGGCCGAAATTGACCGATTGCTCCTATTCCATTACAATCAATCCCATACTTACACCTAAATCCTTCTAAGTCCTGTGCGAGGAGAAGGCCCTCAACTTCTTCTCCTTACACTTGGTAAAGTCTGCGAGTCTCGAAGCAGACCACCAGGTATTCCATAGCTAAGAAATCGCTCCATGCTCGTTTTAAGGAAGTCACAGACATTAACCTTTGCTTGCGAATTATTTTCCAAGTCCTCTTGCTTACTCAAGAAGTTAACAATCTCCTCCGTTTTATATTTTTTAATTTCTTCCGCTAACATTGCATTTCCAGTAGTGGAAATGGAAGCGGAAGCAAGTGTATCAAGAGTGTCTGACATAGCGCTTTTATAGGGATATTAGGCTCAGGCAAAAAAAGTTGTTACGTTCGACAGAGAATATTGCGAAGAAAGTGGGTTAAAAAAAAATATACTCTCGGAAAGTTATTCGCAAATTGACATTCAATCAGATACCAATGAGTTCCTTATTTGGTTGATGAGATATCGGTTGAACATATTTATGAATGCCGATTGTGATCAATTCATGGAACATAACCAGCTCCAATCAATTATTCCATTTCATTTGTTATATTAAGCACAATCTGAATCTTCTAGTTGTTATTAATTTTCATTAGAATTTTCCGACTGTTATTATAAAATTTTACATTTAATTAAACGCTATTTAATTGTACTTTTTTTTAACAACTAACAACTGAAGTATTCGTAAAGTTGAACAGTGATAATTGAAACTGATAAGATTGCATCGATAAGCCTATTCCTAAAAAGTTAATTAATCACATTTAATTAAATGATATTTATTTATATTTATTTGTATTTTTTTTTTTAAAAAAAAAAANTTGAACAGTGATAATTGAAACTGATAAGATTGCATCGATAAGCCTATTCCTAAAAAGTTAATTAATCACATTTAATTAAATGATATTTATTTATATTTATTTGTTTTTTTTTTTTTAAAAAAAAAAACTTTCTTTCTGAAAGAAGAGTCTGCCTCCTATACCGTTTGCCGTCGTGCATAGTGTATTATAGGAAAGGTGGGCTAGGTGGCCACCTGAAGTTTGTAAATAACTAAATGATGATCTAATTTAGACCTTCGCTTCGAATTTTGGTTATGATAATTCAGCTTCCTCTGAAACATTATTCGTCGAAGTCTAAATGGAAATTATTATGAATATTTCAAACAATAATAATGTAAAATCCTTAATCATAGTTAAAATAGGCATGATGGGATAACTCATATATCATGAGCTCTGTCTGTGCGAAGTGCCATTTTATTTATAATCAAAGTAACTTTGATTATCATTGATGGGAGAGTAACATGCAACAAAAATCCTTTAATCAAGGGGGTAAAATAGGCATGATGGGATAACTCATATATCATGAGCTCTGTCTGAGCGAAGTGCCGTTTATTTGTAATCAAAGTAGGCTTAAGTCGTAAGTAACTTGATTATAACAATGATGATTATTGGAGAATTAAGTTGCAACATTATTAAACATTTTTTGATTTATAATATCATTGATGTAATTATTTATTGATATTGATGAGAATGAAAGAGAGGGGAGAGAAAATTTCGATCACGATGTGGAGGATTTAATTATCAATGATTATCAAGAATATTTTTTTTTATTTATGTATATAATTTTAATTTTACATATATCATTTTTAATATTTTTTAAATATTACACAATTAAAAATTTCTTTCATTATCTTGAACAACCCGGACATGACATAAATAAATTGCATTGGAAAATTTCGTTAAATTTATTGAATTTGTGTTGAAATTTTTTTAATTTTTTTTGATAATAATGAAAGTTTGACAATTGACAATCAATTGGCCACCAATCAATAATGAATGATTGAAATCAGTCGACAGTCAGTCGTCAATTAGGTAATCGGGTATAAATCGGCCATCTATCAGTTCAACAAGTTCATTTTTTTGTCCAAGCATGAACGAACATGATGATAGAAGAAGGCAATATTACGTTTATTCTATTAAAAGGTCATTTTTTCAAAAGGTATCGATACCCGATATTCTAATGATAAAATTATCACCAATCACAACTCTCAGTATTTCTGATCAACGCATCAAATTCTCAGAAATGTCTTTTTCAACATTTCTTGTCTTTTTTGGAACGGTTTTGCCTTGTACATATTTATGTGCAAAGGAACGTTAGTAACGTTCTGAAGACTTCTATTTATAATAAAATTCGTGTTTTAGTTAGTAAAAAGGTTACTTCCCCCATCACCTCATTCCCACCATTCCACCCATTCCTTCCAATTACTTTTTCTTTCTTTTTGCTGAAGTTAATAGATGATACGGAACTGCTAGGCAGTTTTCTATAAATTTTCTAAGATCTCTTAATAAAATGAATAATCCAATAAGAACTTATATTAAGTTATTGGTATTTTTATCTTATTCTTTTTTTTTAACAATAAAATTTAGTGACAATATCAGTGAGATCTTAGTTCCAGACCAAAGTAAAAAACGAAAAGGAATGTTAGTAATGTTCTGAAAGTATTATGGATTATAAAAAACAACAAATACCTCGTCTCGCCTTGCCATTCCAGAGTTCCAGACCAAAATTCAGGACCAAGAACAATTCATAAAATAAAAATAAAAAAGGAACGTTAGTAACGTTCAGAAAATAAAAAATACTACGAACTAATACTTACGGCGCTTCGATGCTTAGTTTATGAGAAAATGACTGATTTTAGCGGATAAGGTACAAAGAATGTACTGTAGAGTTTCAAGCCAAAATAGATTTAACTTTTTTAGCTATTCCCTGCAAAAAAAGTCGCTCCATTTTTTATATTCCATCTTTTTTCCATAAAAGGCTCATATTTTCGGAATTAATAACCTTATATCAAGGAATTTATCGAATTGTTTTCATTTTCCGTGAATGGATTCGTGAAAGGGATTGGAGTTTTTACAGAAATAATGGATAAAACATTTTTATAAGGATTCGGTTGTTTTAAATAAAAATAGATTATCAACCGATCGGTAAATCGATTAAGAAAGTCATATGAGACGGACTTGCGAAACGGGAATACTACAGAGAACACGCAGTTATTATCACTGGAATATCAGGTCACGAAATATTATGGTATATCGGTTAAATACCAGAAACCTGATATGGCTTGATATGTAATAGGTCGTCTAAGACAGGAATGGAAGACGCAGGTTCGATCCGTCTAGCCAACGGATGCTCTATGAATTAATACTGTGTGTGCCTATACCATAAACTTTGGTCACAACCATGGTATCAACCAATGGTAGACTACTTCGGTAGTCGACACCTTATTGGTCGTGGTAGACAGTAGGATTATAGGGTTCTTTTTCTTAGAAGCGAGGGTCTGGCTTTTGCTAGATGACAATTGTATTTGTGTAGCGCTAACAACTTTCGTCTCGATTGAATAATAGCAATACTTAATCTATTGCCTGCTTGACATAAAATAAATAAATAAGTGGCTTGATATGTAATATATACACATTAGTAACCCGATATGACAATAATTTTTCATTATAGTTTACTGTTTTATTTACTATACCGAATATTGATAGGTATTAAATGGATATTTATATGATATTATCAATTTTGACAATACTATTTGTTGGAAAATTATTTAGATATTAGAAATTGTTAATTAATTCAACAAAATTAATTAAAAATTGTAAAAAATTCCAAAATTCAGTTAACTAGGAATGAAAATCATTGAAAGACTGGAGCGAAAAACTAAGACGAGGGGATGGCTCTTGATATATCAATAATATAAGTCACAACTCGTCAAGATCTATACTCTTGCACCAGAATCGCCAATTGATCGGCTATACCCTGAATTCTTCTCCAAAACAATATCCCAAAAGTTATGGATTGGCCTTCAAACAGTCCTGACGACTTAAGTCCAATAGAAATTTTCTAGGTAAATTGTTAAGGGCAGTTAAAAAAGATGGAGAAATTATTGGTGGTTCAATGAAGCAACGTTGTATTATTATCATAATTTTATGTCAAATAAAAAATATTTCACGTGAATTGGAATGATGATCATGAAGTAATACCTATTCCGGCTCTTTTGTAGCACTGTGTATGGGGACAATAAATTTACTTTCTCCCACAATTAGGTAACTAAAACCTCCTTCTTTGTCGACACTTTAAACCTCCTAAAAATAATTTGCAATAATGATAATAATGATGTAAGGCCAATATAATTATAATACAAAAAATAAAAATTTGCAAATAATGATGTAAGGCCAATATAATTGCAATACAATACAAAAAAATAAGATTACGTGATTGGAATATATGATTGGAATATATGATTACGTGTGACCATTTAATTTTAAATCAACAATATGATTGCGTGAGTCTAATTTAAAAAAAAATGTGATTACGCCAGATGATTTTAAAATAATAAAAATAATCAAAAATTTTACTTTTTTTTCTAGAGGTTAATAATCCTTTTAATTGAGGTATTTGGGGGCAAAATTTATAATTCTATTCAAAAAAAAAAATATCAGCTTCTAATAACCTTTTACCATCTTTAAAGAAATAGAAGCTTTATTATGCGTAGTCAGAAACCTTTCAAGTTCAATAAGTCTTCAAAAAGTCATATGTCTCATAAGAAATGTAATGAATCTGTGTCTCCGTCTCCAAGTTCGAAGCGAAATAAAAGAAATTCAAGTTTTGATAGCCCAAGTCCTGGAAGAAAAAAAACTCCAGATATTGATGATAAGCGCCGTAGTAGACATTCAAGTGAAACTCGCGGTAAAAGTTCTGGAAGAATTAAAGAAAAAAGGAGTAGAGACTCTAGTACCGATAGTAGAGATGAAAGACGTGGTAGAAGCTGTACTAGAAAGGGCAATAGGAGTTGCAATAAAAGAAGCAATCGAAGTTACAGCAGAGACCATAAGAGAAAATCCGTAAGAGAAGGTATAAAAATTGAAAATTCTCAGTAAGAAAAAAATGCGTTATATTTCTTACTAACAAATTCTTACCCATTAATTTTACAAGAGTTGTCTGAAATCAATTCAAAATTAGATCATTTGGTTGAAGAAGTATTAATTATAAAAAAAGCACAATTGGGGAATAATACTGCAACCACTAATCAATATGAATCGGTGTCTCCAAAACAAACATTTCTAATGCAGCACGCAGCAATTGATGAAGAGCAATGTAAATCCTTCAGGGTATTTATTGATCTTAACAAGTTAATAAATGTTACTTCCTGCAAAAGATCAGAATTAATTGGACTATTTTTGTTTTATAAATTAGAATGAAGTATTTCAAATTCTTTCAAATCTCGATAGCTCTCTCTTCCTAGACTATACCAAATCCTGAAATGAAATTCAAAATCATGTGATCAAAGAAACATTGCCCACAATCGATAAGTCGTTAAGTAGTAAAGTCCAGTACAATTCGACAGAACTTAAAAATGTTCTGCAGCAACTTCATCGGCTCATCGCCATAGACGAGAAAATTGGAAAATTTCACAAAATTCTGAAAAAGCTAAGGAGGACAAAAAATGAAAGGGAACAAATTCTAGACGTTCTGAAGTGAGTATCTTTTGATGTTGAGATACAGATGCTTTACTTATTAATTATTTTAATTTATTTTAGAAAAAAGAAAGACGAAAACAGGGCCTTCAATATATGTATACTACTAAATCCCCCACTTTTGTGCATTTACGACCCGATTCATTGACAGTAGAGAAATATGAGAAAGACCTAGAGGAGATAGTTGATAACAAAGCTTATCACTCCGATGAAATATCAGAGACAGATGAAGAAATGGCTATGAAGGAAATCAATGAACTTGTCCGACCAAAAAACAAATTGGATAAGCACGTGATTCATGTGTATAACAAACCGTGAAGATCTGTAGAGGTAAATTAGAAAATTTTATAATTTTAACTTTCTTTTGCTTATAATTTCTTATTATTTTTTTTAGGTCAAAAAACTTCTTCAAATTGCCGATAGCGTGGGAGAATCATTACAACATACCAAAGTCTAGAGAAAGCGGTGGTACAGAGATAAGATATTTAAAGATAATTCAGAACCACCGGACAATGCACCAAAATGGGTAATATCGCCCTACTACTCGAAGAATGAAGAAAAAAGTAATAATATTATTCAATTGATAGATAATTAATTAGAAAGGAGAAGGTTTTTTTATTCATTTCATAAGATCGAGATCTGTAAATTGGTAGATCAAGACTCATTCTTATCACCATTCTAACATCAGGGACATCACATTAATTCGTATAATGTTAATTCAAAGACTTGTAATATTTTTTTTGTTGCAAATTTAAATATTGCTAAATATGTAAAGCTAGATTTTTCGCAATTTGATATTTTGTAATATAATTTTAATAAAATTTTTTGTGAAATATGAAGTTACTATAAAAAGAATGTCAATTGAATTTCTACATTTCCTTAATATTTAATAAATATTTAATAAATTCAATAAATTCAAAATCACATGAGATTCGAATATCCATTTGAGATTTAAATATCAGGTGAGATTCGAATCATATTCGAATCTACATTTTAAAAACTTTCAAATATTCGAATCTCGCTATGACTTTCAAAGTTCAAACGGAAGCTTTACATAAGACCCTCAGATTGTTTTACTATTTCAACTTAGGCTTCTAACTAGAGAATTTTTCTTGTAAGTTGTATGCATTTTATACATAAAAATAAAAAGCATTATCGTTGCCTTTCTTTTTTTCTGAATTGATATGAACTATTAAATCCGATATTTTCCACCTTGAGAATCGTTCTTACTCCTTTGTTAGAAATTGGTCAGTTTGGATTAAATCAGCCATTTGATTTTCATTTATTGCGCCATTGATTTTTATTATGTTTGGAATTATGTGTATTTCATCTCAGGTCCACAGATCGAAATAGCAGATTTGCGGCAAATATAAATAAATAAATTTCATATGATTTTATGATCGATTTGTGAAGTTTTATTCAATCAACCTAATCAACCCAATCAACCACCAGACGAATTCCACTCTTCAGCATAAATAGTCATAACTACTAATATCACCTAGGAGCAATTTAAAGATACCATCATGCTAATTACCTTTAAACGAATTGTTTAGGTATGAAGATCAGGCTAAAAATTTTACTCGCCTCTAATAAAGTTCATCAATATCGGTAGCTGAAAATATGATAAGATTCATGTTGGTAGGAGTGAAAATCGGTACATGTTAGTTTCTGGTTTTGACATACATTAAAATAGAAATGACTACTTACTAAAAAAGACTGCAATTATAAAATCAGTACTTTATCAAAGTAGAAAATAAATATGAATACTGCTATCGTATAAAAGAAATAAAAAGGGGGAATTAAAAATGACCCTAATGGATTGCGGCGGTCTATTGACCATGATGAGGTGTACATGGCGGAGACTACAGCAATGGCTTGTCCCTTAGGTCGTCCGAAGATGCATGACCTCTACCAATTAACACCACATGCCTCACTTTCAGGTGTCCAAAAAAATGAAAAAAAAAATCAAAAAAAAATAAATTAAGGTAGAGAGTTGAAGTCCTTTATATAAGTTATATATATAGTATTTTTTGTGATACAAATCACATGAGTAAAAATACATGAGTATCATACATGGGATCAATAGGTACCGATCGTTATGTAGACCGTAGAACAAAAACGAATTGTGAAAAAAAAAACTGATATTCGTAAAAAAGATCAATAACTGCAATAATTGTAAGAAAGACCGAAGATAACTTAATCTTACAATCTTTGGGAACGTTACTATTAAAGTGGAAGCATTTTATATAAAAAGAAAAATCGAAAAAAGAAATTGATAAATGGTAACCTTTTTTCCGCTACAAATCAAAATTGAAGAATATGCACTAAATTCAGAACTTTTGTCATTTTTTTTAAAAACTTCTCTGTATACTCATCACAAATCTGGATTAGAATATTTGACGAAATTATTCATCCATTCAGAAAGTGAGCATGTAATTTCTGTCAAAAAAATTCACAACGGAGTATAAGGAGTTAATGAAAATTCGGAAAATTCCCAATTAATCTATTTCCCATATGTTCTAAAATTAGTACTGATAGAACAATTCTTTTCTTGGAATAATTCTTGTTCTATTTGTTCTTTTTTTAGTTGTTTGCACGTTTTGTTGATTTTACGCGTCTTTTTATTATATAAAGACAGGAAAAGGCTCTTTATTTCCCATCAGCTAGTATGGGTCATCGTCACAAGCGCAGCAAACGAAGTTTTAATAGTAGTATAAAGAAAGGTTTACGAGGGCAGCGAAGATGGGCTATAAGTTTGTATGAAGTTCAAGAAGCCAATAATGGTAAGTTCCTACAGGATTAACGCTCGGCTGAAATACCGGTCTTGTGGATCCAAGGGATAAGTCTTACTTAGCTTTTTGCGTTGTATTCCCATTCTATTCGAATACAACGGTTCAACATTTTCGGTTCAACAACTATCGACCAGCATATGGGTAACACAGTTTCACTAACTCTTGGAAACAACTCTCTTTTTAGGTAATACTAGTTCCGTAAATAATAATCCCACCGTCGAATGTGTCGACTAAGCCCAAAACTCAAATAATGGTAACCATTCTATTCGGATACAATGGTTCAACAATCAACAACTATCGGCAAGCATATGGGTGAAAGCTACTTTTTTTCTCTTCATTTTAGGTAACCCTGTAAAAAGGTCGATCCGTTTTTTATATTCCACCTTTTTTCCGTAAAAGACCCATATTTCTGGAATTAAATAACGGAATTTATCGAATTATTTTCATTTTCCGTGAATGGATCCGCGAAAGGCTCATTTTAACGGAGTTCCTCAAATATACCTCATCATTAATAGTACCATTGGTAGCGGCAAATCGGTATGAATTCTTTATCTATATTCACTCTATGAGTAAAATTCTGGTCAAAGGTTTATTGCGAGAAATTAAAATTAAAAAATTGATTTACAATACTAATATCCGTTCAATATTATATCCGATTTTATTCGTTTATCAGTAAGTTTATTATCATATGTTATATTTCTTATAACACATTACAACATTTCATTTAATAATTTTTAACAATAAATAATTAACTTTTTTTCTTTGGACAATGATCGGTTTAATAAAATTTTTCACAAAATTTCCTTTTAAATTAAACTTACTAGAGATTTTGCCTAAGTTTTTTTCTTTTTTACGCACTTGGCAAAAAAGTTCTATATAACTTGCACCATGACAAAATATAGACTTATTAAAAAGGAGAAACGAAAGAGTTTCAGAACTAAATGAACATACTGGCGATTTAATAAATATTATTTTATTATAAACTTAATTATATTTTAAATTTATTATAAATGAAATTGTCTATTTATTGGTATTACAGCTTTATATGCGACGAGCTTCTTTTTACCAGTTACAAATTCGCTAGATACAAATCGGCTATATATGTAATGAATTGGAATTATACAGTCTCGGCTTATATCATAAAAATCATTTTGCCAAAGTTCAATATTTGAACTTTTATCATTCTCATCGATATTTGTATAAAATCGTATAAGTCGGTTTGGTGCCGGTCTGTACCATCTGACGAATGCCAATCGATGAGTTTTAGATTCACCTGATATCGTGATAGTATGCTCAAAATAATATTGAACCTTATTTTACTAATTTTTAATATGTATATAAATATCACACACATTTATCAAAAACGGATATTATTATTAATTTAATTTATAATTTCTTTATTTATTTTATATTTAAGCTTCGTCTTTTATTACATAAAAAAATCGATCCAATGGTCAATTTGTTAAGAACGAAGCAAACAACTTTAAAGTACAAAAGGATTGATGGTAATGTACAAGAAACCGGCGCGCCACCTAATGGAGCACCTAGTTGGTGTCTAAATAAAGCAGCACTTGAAAGGCTTAATCGCTCGACTGAAGTATCGATTTATGACTGGGATTCTGAAAATGATAGCTATAATAGGGATGATGATGATAATTACAACAATCCTCCTGATATTGATAACAACAACAATAACAAGGTAGAAAGTTCCAAAAAACATAAGAGAAAGAAAATATCATAAAAAAGAATCAAAAAAACGTAAATCAAAAAAATCAAAATGATATATTTTTTTTTGATTTATAATAGTGACATATATTATCTAATATTTTAAGGGGTGGGAAGGAATGTAAAAAACTAACGTATGTCACTGCCCTTATAAAGAAATAAATTTTCTGAATAAATATTATATAAAATTTTAGCTCAAAAGATATAAAAAACAAATAGAAAAAACACTTGCAATGTACATTCATTTTTGGTTGGGATCATTAGGAATATTTTTTGCTTTAAATTTATATTCTTAAGATTATTTCACCCTGATTGTACTTCATGGGCAAAAAAATTTGTTTGATTATTTGATTTCTAAGTTTCTTTTGCTCGTTTCGTTTATGTTGAATTCGTTCTTTTGCTCATTTCGTTTATGCTGAATTCGTGCTTCATGCTCAATTCTAAATTCATCAGTAAGTTAAATTAATGCATTAAAAAAGCACTGTAAAATTCGTAATAATCATTGCCACCAAAGCACTGGTTATTTAGCACAATAGGCATTAAACTGCGCACTGATTATTTGAGTAATCGGTAACAATATCAAGTTAGCGTGACTTTTTATTTTAGTTTAGCTTCTTTTCTTAGTGCGATTTATCTTTATTAGCAAATCACATTTTTTGGACACATGTATTTATACCAAAAAAGGAAAGCCCTAGACAATGTGCTCATACACTTGATGTTTTTCTGTTTATTTGCAAAAACACGTGCTTTTACTATTATCAACATATATATAGCTACCGTAAGCCATTAGAAGAAGAATAAGTTACATCGCAACCTTTTCAGTTTTTGATTTTTCTTCTGGTTCTTTTAAGGNGCGCACTGATTATTTGAGTAATCGGTAACAATATCAAGCTAGCGTGACTTTTTATTTTAGTTTGGCTTCTTTTCTTAGCGTGATTCATTTTTATTAGCAAATCGCATTTTTTGGACACATGTATTTATACCAAAAAAGGAAAGCCCTAGACAATGCGCCCATACACTTGATGTTTTTCTGTTTATTTGCAAAAACACGTGCTTTTACTATCAACATATATATAGCTACCGTAAGCCATTAGAAGAAGAATAAGTTACATCGCAACCTTTTCAGTTTTTGATTTTTCTTCTGGTTCTTTTAAGGACTAACTAAGCCTTTTCATAATTTCACGCACATAGCAAAATGGATATATAGAACTTTACAGGCATAATATTTCAAAAGTTATTATTAACTTTTACACATATTTTCATTTTAGAATAAAAAATATGTCACCATATGGATTAATCATATGATTTTTCAGTACATGTAAGGACTTTAGGTTTTATTTGAAAAAGATTCAAAATTATAAGTTACATAGATTTGTCACACGTATATATATATAGTTTATTTTTCCCTTCTATTTTTCCTTCCTTCAAAAGAAGCAACCTTATTTTTTTCCTTCCTTCACAGGAGACTACCTTATTTCTTCTTAGAAATATTCTGGATTTTTCATTTAAACAAACTTAAGAAGAATGGGGGTTAAGTAAAAAAAATAAATAGTATGTGTAAATCATTTAATTTTATAGTAATTCTAATTATATTATTATTTAAAGGTTTGGTTTTATACATTTTTGAGGACAAAACAGATAGAGATAGGTTTTATAATTATGTAAAAGATAAAAAACTTTGATAGGACCACGAAACAAAATATTAAATTTTAATCAAGCTTTTAAAGTAAGAATTATTCATGAAAGAGATGATTTTATGATGATGATGTAAGTTATTTTATAATTTTTAATGTTTACTGTGTTAATTAATATTATTTTGATTAGGGAGCGACAAACGCTTATAAATCCGCCGTCGCCATTGCAATCAAATCCATCACAGTCACCACTATATATAACATTTTTGAATTAAGGTTAAATTAAAATTATTTTATTGATATATATATTTAAAGTTTTATTTAATAGTTAACATTTTTTCTTAATCAAGTGACAAGTTAGTAATTTATCAGTTTATCTTCAATTAATTGATGTTGACAGAAATACAATTGAAGCCCATTTGATGCGAACCATATAAATGTCAAATTCAGTTACGACCACAAGTTCATTGAAACTGAGGGTAAATATTTACAAAGGAGTCTGGAGCGTAGCGAAGGATTCTACCGTAGTGGTATGAAATTTCCCGTTGTTCTTTGAGTCAAAGTTTAATTGGTTCTTATATTACACGTAATTATCTCGATCAGTTAATTGAGATGTGATGATTTACCTGTATACTGATAAGCTTCAGTGTCACGTTATCACATTAATAATCAAAACAAATAAGTTGTACAAAGAAAAAAAAAGCTATTTCGGTAGGTTTTTCTTTTCTTTTTTTTCTTTAATTTTTTTTTTATTTTAATGAATGGTTCTTAATGTTCTTTTTTTTTCTTTTTACAGAAGTAACAAGACTGGAAAGCCTGAGTTAAAAAAAAAACAGAAGTTAGTTTAATTTGGAGAATTCACTAGTGTTAGCTAGGAGCGTACTTTTTTGTTTTTTATGTTCTGGTGAGGACTTTTGGAGATAAGTTGGGAATGATTTCGCTATTACTTACAAGAAACGTACTGACTTTAAGAAACGCACTGACATTTTTTTTAATTTATGCAGGTTCCATATTTTTGAATTCCTTTAAAACGCGGTAAGCTATTGTTTTTGAGTGAAATTTTGGAATTGAATTTAAGAAATGTGCTGACTCCTTTTTTTGATTTTGATTTTGTAGGTTACAGCTTTTAGGATAATGATGGTACGTTAATTTTTTTGAGTTGAGGTTTCAGAATTTACTTTAAGAGATGTGCTGACATTTCTTTTTTTGACTTTTGTAGATTCCAGACTTCGTTTTTTGGCGAACGATATGTAAGTTTCGATATTTCAGAACTTCTTATAGGAAGCATTTTACTAACATTTCCTTTTTTTTTGTAGGTTTTGGCCTTCTATCCTTGGGTGACAGATAGCATTATGGTAAGTTTCGATATTTTGAAACTTTAAAGCTTTATATTTTATTAAAGAACTGCATATTTATTAAAGAATTGCTTTATTAACGTTTCAATTTTTTTATAGATCCCGGAATTCTGAATTTTGAACCTGGGTAAGTTTTGAATGTATTTTTGGGAGCTTCTAAGAAATGATTTTGCCTTATATATATTTACATTTTCATATATGACAGTTTGAACTTATTAATATTATCCTATTATACTATTATGATTAATCAATCAATTGTCTTTTTTTTCATTGCAATTATCTTTCTATTATCATTTTGTATAAGTTTTATATATCTATATGATTCATTAACTATGTAAATCTCAAGAAACTTCTTTTGCTAACTAATAAAGCAATTTTACTAATATTATTTTAATTAAACTGATACTTATTTATGAGTCAAAAACAATAACAATACTAAAAGTGGTTAATTAATGTAACTAACTAATAAAACTAAAATATATTATAAGAATGTTTCATATTGTAATAAACTCAGCCATAATCATGCGCACTACATGTGACTTGTTCGATCTTCAACTATTTCCATAGGTAACCCTTTAAGCAAAAATTTTGGTAACAATAAATGATTTTGTATTTTGATCCTTGACACATCGCTGACTCAGTTTGTAGTATTACTGAATCTCAGTTCGTAGCATTACTGACTCACAGTTCGTAGTAATTAGTCAACAACCGTTTATGAAAACATATATATATATATATATATGACATATATTCAAAATGTCAAGCTATTCTTCGCTATCTCGAGCACTTTCGCCATTCTGGGTACAAACTAAATTCGAGGAAAAAACCCTACTCGCTAGGTTTAACGTTTTGTCCAAAATGTTTTATTTGTGTTATTACTTTTTTGAACTTAGTTTCTAACTCTCGATTGTCGTGTTTGCAGATATACTATCATGTTAGGCTGTCTCGTTATAGGTGAAGATAAAGCTTTTATCATCAGAACCGACAAGATCAAAACCATTTCAGAACTCAGAAATGCCATCAAAGCCTACAAGGAGAACGTGTTTAAAACTTTTGATGCAAACCAACTTACATTATGGAAAGTCAATATTCCTGAAATCAATAAATGGGAAATTAATGCGGATACTGACATTGCACAAAAATTTGGAGCTGTAGAGTTGGAAAATGATTTTGATACTATTGAAGTCCATTTTGGCACAAACCCTACTGCAACATACATTCATATCATCGTACAAGTGCCAACGCCTCTGCCCGCCACCACTGGTAAGTGTCTCCCAATGGTTTACCTCTCGAACAAAAAATTCGTGTTATCTCATATTCTTTTTTAAAATTTATTTCTAACATGCAGTGCCTTCCACACGAACGATCTCCCTAGCTCAAATAGAAAAAGAAGTTCAAGATCTATTTAAAATTCATTCTCAGGACCTAGAAAAGGTTGAGACAAACAAATATGATCCTTATAAGTATTTAGAAGCACCGTATGATCATCCTTACAAAAGCGAAATTGATAAGAAAAAAATTCCAATGCTCGGTGGTAATCCTAACTTGCTTTTGTATAATCTCCCTAGAAAGAATAAAGATTACCTCACTAATTGTGAACATTTAGAAGCAGACTTGAAGCGTAATATTGTATCTAGTAGCATGACAATTGTTATGGGGACTTCTGGTTGTGGCAAAACTCGCCTATGTTTGGAACTTTTATGTCGCAACTATGGCCTGTATTTTGTTGCTGTACCATTAAGTTTTGGAGCCAAAGACTTTGAAGATGCATCAGTTTGGACAAAGAATGAGATTCATGAAAAAGAACCTGATAAGGCGAAAAAACTTGCAGAGCGGGCAGTATAGAGTTGTATCACTGCACGTCTGGTATTGATTAATCATCTCATTGAGATGGCTGAAAAACTTAAATGTGAGATGGAACCCAAATCTTGGTTAATCTTCCAACTAAGTCATCAACTTATCAATCTATTACCTGTAAAATTTCGTGACATAGTGGATGAGGAAGCTCTTAAAGAATATCGCCTTAATATTATTAAAAGTATTGATAATAAAATTAAAAACATCTTTCCAATTATCTATGATGAGGCCCAATATCACACCTCATACTTATCAAACACATTCCTATCTTATAATGATAAAAATAAGAAGAGACCATTATTTACCATAATCATGAAGATTTTTTCAGATTTATCCTCAATATTTCCGAAAGCAATTGTTTGTATAACTGGATCTTGCTTATCACTAATGGAAGCAAAGGATCTAGCAATATCTAACGTGGCAAAGAAAGAAACAGCGTAAGTTAAAATTTTCAGTTCTAATGCTTTTTGGGATAATTTAATTAATCTTTCCAAATTGATCTATAGTATTCCAATCTTTAAAAATTTTGGCCAAATTAAAACCTCAGAGGAAATACTTAAACTAGCAAGGAATATATTCCCCCTTGAAGATAAATATGCATCAATGGCAATTGAATGGCTAAAGGTATGTTATTGTTATGATGATTTATTGAATTCAATCCCAGTTCTTACAACATAGTTTCTAAACAGGGTCGATATCGTTTTACTTGGACATGGATACATTACCTCCTTAATTCTTATGATCCCCAAAAACAACTAGAAATACTAAAAGATCATCTTACAACTGATTACGAAGATCCACAAAATCCAAGATTTAGTCTTTATTCTGGACTTGTAAGACTTGTACATCATCCTAATGAGCGACATTCCTATATTGACCATGAGTCTATATTGGAACTTATAAAAAGAGCGATTATTTATTATGCAATGACGGGAAGGCGATTTTTGTATAAAAATACTAAAGAGGTAGATATTATGTCTATTGGCTTTGCCCACCTTGAAACTCGAGAATTAACTGGGATCATTGATGAACCTCTTGCGATTCAAGCAGGAATCAACTATTTTATAAATACTAAAATAGACAACATGTGGTTTAATGTAATGTCACAAGTCAATTTTAATGCGAGCATGCCAGGATTAATTTGGGAGAAGTGTGTAACAAATTTTTTGTATGACATTATTTTTAAAAGTAATATACCTTTATCCTCGCACAAAAAACTATTCCCTGATAACAGTCATCGTTACCTTCCTGTTGATTTTGAGAATTCACCTGAGCTGTTACCATCTGGTAAAAACCGTGTAGGCGTGAAATCTGTAGAACTTTCTGCACCTGAAGAGTATATTGGGTGGCTCCGTATAGTGTCATCATGGGAGAAGACTGGAAATGTTTCTGACGGGTTTTGCCCAATATGTTATCCACCAAATACAGCAGACCCTGATATCTCAATTGCTTTTTTCTTTCCGAAAGGAGAAAAAAGAGAAGCTTATATTCTAAATACTCAGGTCAAGTTAAGAAATAATGTTGAGCTAAAGAATGCATGTAAAACTGTTGATCCGGATACAATGTTTACAGACAAAGACTCAAACCCCAGTCCTTCTCAATTTCATTATGAGTTGCGTGAAATCTACAAACGACAAAAATGGAGTAACCGTAACATACAGATGATTGTTGCCTATCCTTGTAATTTTAATTTTAAAAGAAAAAGGGATTATCAAAAAACACTTGGTGCATCAATAAGGGTACGCAAGATACCAAGATTGATTATTGATGGAAATAATGCAGACTCATTGATTTCTAATGATTGTCAACATTGGGTTACAGTTTTAAAACAAGAACAGGGATCCAAAGTGGATTGGCAATGTAGTGATATTGAAATTTCTGAGGATGAAGAATAGTTTTAAAAATAACAAAGTATTAATTCTTACATTTTACATTTTCATTTTTTCGAATTTATTATTCATATGTTTAAAATCAAAGTGAAAATTTTGTAGATATATTAAACAATAAAATGAATGTATTATATGTATTATCAAATGTTTATTTTTAAGTATCTATGCGCCTATCTAATAATTTCTAACTAATTCCAACACCAAAATTTCATTCTTATATGCCATTATTTTTAACTAATTTCCGCCTAAATATTCTAAGAAAAATTAAGTAAAAAAAAACAAATACATCTTTCGCTTTCATAACACTCCGCCTCATATCCTACCATAAACGTTCTTTAATAGAGTTCGGATATAATACTGATATACTGTGCCGAATAATTAGAACTGCGCTCACAAAATAATGTGATATGTCCACTTTTGATCTATAAAGCCAATTAGCATTATCCTAGAACCTATTAACGTACCTTCTGGAATATCGTTCATGATACTGGTAGTTATGAAAACTGTGACATTTTGTCATGACCAGTGTCGTTGTGTAGAAAATTTTTTAATACACGCAAAAATAAATACAAGTTCGGGACGTAGCCCGCGATACATATTATTTTTTGATAATTTTTTTGATTCTAGCCCTCTTGCTAGCTGGAGAACTATCTACACTAACACGATCCTTCAACAACCCAACAATAATACCAATTACTTTTAAGATAATGTCCTCCATACAGTGTTCGAATGCTCCTCGAGGACTACAGAGAAAAATAAAGTTAATATAGCTATCTAGTCAGTTTCGAAAATTAATTTATTACCTACCAGGAGTAAACTGCTTGATGCTCGTTATATCCTCCCCATCATATCCGCCAATCTGCAGAATTAAGGAATTATTTTTATTTATAAAATGCAATTTTTTTTGCTTAATTATAACCCTTTTTCGGGATTTCACAAAATTCCACACTCGAAATCCAAACTGACATGAAATCCAAAAAACTGGCCGGCATTAAATATAATATTGGATTTCAGAGAATTTTGCATTTTGTAATAATATTATGGCTAATGATGATTAGTACGTCACGCCATCACATGCTAAATTGTTGCACTGATGGTTACATAAAATACTACAAATTCTTTTTTTAACTGTTATAGAACGATGGCTTTTCTTTCACCACCTTCACCCACAAATACAAGCGAACATAAATGTAACATATGCCAAAAACCATTTAAAAGTAATGCGGGATTAGCGCGTCATAATACTGTGATCCGAAAGTAGAATATTCTTCGTAAAGGACTCCCGGTAATACCAAAAAATATAACTAAATGATTTAATCTATTTCATCCATCGTCGATTGCCAAATGGCTTAAAAAATTCTGGAAAAAAAATAGTCTCAATTCCATGCAGTGAATGTCAATTTCATGCAATTTTTAAAAATCATATACACTATTATTCAAAAAAATCTGGTGTTTATAGGTGTTGGTTTCGAGGAAAAGAGGGAGGAGAAAAGTTAAACAAGATATTTGGAAGGACAGATTGGGGGATAAAAAACTATGACCAAAATCAAAAAAACTTATGTTGTTTTATAACTATAACTCATCACATCAAAAAGCTGAGGTTAATCCACTGGCATTAGCTACTACTAAAAGGGCTACTATGATAAAATCAAAAAAGTCTCTTACCAAATGCCAATATGGGTGAGGCATGATAAGGAAGCCAACGGAAATATATGTAGTGCAGGGTTTATTTTTACACAAGACAAGCGCAAAAAAAATATATATAATTTGGTGATGTTAAAAATAATTAGATAAATTTCAAATAGAAGCATCATATAGATTAATAAAAGAGAATTACAAAATATTAAAAATAGTGTTTGTAAAAAAAAATAAATAAAAAAAATTTTTGATTACAAAAATACCACATTTTTTTTTGTTTAAAAAAAAAAAAATTTAGTAGCGCGTTTAATAAATAATAATTAAAATCAATTACAAAAATCAATTACATAATTATTTAAACACCTAGAAAATAAAATAAAATTAATTAAATTATTCTCTATATATTAATACAAAATCTGCTGATCTAATAAAAAAAACATAAAACACACCAATTTTTGTAATAGATTTACGATCCATTTCTTTAATTACATTATCTTTCATTACTAAATTTATTGTTTTCACTAATTTTTTTTCATTTTCATTTTTGATGTTTCCATCTTTTTTTCTAATTTTCCTTTTTTCTGATCCGCCACTTGATCTATATCAGTTTACCTTTCTTTACATTTTCTCTTGTCTTTCTTCTCAAACCCTATTTCCTTTTCTATTTCATTGCCTCCCTCGCATCTCTTCAACCAAATTTCCTTGCGTAAATTTTCGTAACAAAAATCTTCAATCACCTTTTTTCTTGAGATATTATTGAAAGCATTATTATATATACCTCTAAGTAATTCCCATTCTCTCTAATTGATCAGAATTTTTGATGGTTCTTGCAAGAATACAAGATCTGAATAAAGGCTAAATTAGTATCTCTCACTATTTCCAATTCCTCATCTCATTTCTCAAAATGTTCTCGTATTCACCAACTGATGCTTCAATAATACTTCTAATTGTTGATTCATTGCTCTCACATATTCAAACATGATTCAAATCTTCTTCAAATTTATTACATCTTAAACAAATATAACTATCTATACCGTTCACTTCTCTTTTAAAAACAGTACACTGTAGATATCAAATTCTTAATATTATAGCTTCTATTTTTCGTGTTTTCTACTCCACATTGTCAAAAGGAAAATTTATTGCGATTACTGATAAATTTCAAAGATCTTATCCAATCAAATTCATTCTTGTGATTATAGAAAAATAAATCTTCGATCTTTTTGCTGTTGAGCAATTCATTTTTCCAAATTGCTTCTGTACATAGTTTTCCTCTGTCCTCTATAATCACCTGTATTCAGATTATATTTCCAATATAAATTGAATTGTATTATCGCAATTACCATTTTTCCCTTTTAATATACTCAGAGCTTTTTTGTTTCTAATAATTTTTCTTCTAAAATTTTCGAATCCCAATCACTATCTACTTTTATCTTCATTTCTGTTTGTTTTAAGAAGTGTTCTAAAAATTTTAACTCAACATAATAATCACTATCTAATCTCTCAAATTATTTAAAAATTATTCTACTAATTTTTTAACATTACTATAATTCCTAAAAATATATCACTTCTATTATTTAATAAAATTATTCCGATAATTATGGATCGTACTAAAATTGTATAAGAATGTTAATAACATTTTTAAACCAAAAAAAAATTCCCAGTTTCCTCTCTTTTATATACCTATTTAATTTACATCAACCAAAAACTTCTTTAGGTATACGTGGATACATTTATCTCAAGAATTATGTAGATAAAAGACTACACAATGCACAAATTATGCATTTAATACTTCAACATTTCAACTTAGTAAACATAGCCAAAAAATTTGGGCAACATCACACTCCCACACACTTTTCAGGAGATATAGATAAAAACCCATCAACAATAGATTATATTTTTGGCTCAAAGAATTTGTGCAACAAATAACAGAATTCGTTATTATTAACGATAATGATAACTTATACACTTCAGATCACAAAATATTGAAAATTTCTTTAGATCATCCTAACGCTAATCTTAGTAAAAACAGAGTGAGTTTTTCTAAATCACGTGATACTTCCAATCAAGAAAAACAATATAATACAAAAGAAATGACTCCTGAACAATGTAATCTATTCCAAAATTTTTTAACTAACTGTGAATATATTTTTTATGAAGACACAGATATTATCCAAACATCACAAGAATTTATTAATTAACGAATGAACCAGATAGAATGAGATATTAAAGGCGCTCTTGATAGGGATGGTAAAGTCCTAAGTCCTGGACCTAAAGACCTGGTCCTAGGACCTGGTCTGCAGATCTTTAGGTCCAAATTTTGGACCAGAAGCGGACCAGGTCCTAAAAAGTCCTAGCCAATAAGGTTATAAGAGATCTATATGTTTAAATTATATATGTATAATTTGCTGTAAATTTGATTTTAAGTAATTATAAATAATAAAAAAGTGCAATGCAATATTGAAATACAATTTTTATATTATTAAAATCATATAAAAAATGAGTTGCGATATTGCGATTCACATTTTTATATTAAAATCAATATATAAAAGTGAATCGCGATACCGCAACTCACTTTTTTTATATAAAATCAATATAAAAAAGTGAATCCCGATACCGCAACTCACTTTTTTTATATAAAATCAATATAAAAAAGTGAATCCCGATACTGCAACTCACTTTTTTTATATAAAATCAATATAAAAAAGTGAATCCCGATATCGCAACTCACTTTTTTTATATTTAATTATTACTAAATTCATAAAATCTATAAATAACTTAGTCAGGACCAGGTCCTGGGACCAGGTCCAGGACTGGTCCTAACAGGACCTGGTCCGCAGGTCCGTTCAATAGGACTTATAGGTCCCAAGACCAGGACCAGACCAGGACCGACCTAACCATCCCTAGCTCTTGATCAGGTTCAAATCAAAAAATACAAACATACACTGCCAAGGCGAAATAATTTTCCGTTACATATTAGAAAACAATATAATCAATTATACCAATTGGCTTCCTTTATTAAAAAATATTTACAAGAAAAAGAATTAACACTGGTCGAAATAGTCCAAATCGGCTAGAAATCGGATGTCCAATTTTAGGCCGAATTTGGTGATAAAGATGGCCAATTTATTAATTTAGGCAAAGTTCCGATTGGCAGGCCGATCGACGCCGATCAGAATATCCAAATTGTATCTGAATTGCTTAGTATTTTTGATC